CAAATAAAGAGGCGAAAGAAACAGCGAACCTAAGAAGTGGGGAGGCGTGGCGATCCACCTTTTGGGGGGGGGTCGTATGGACTTGACCAAAATCCCCACCAACCAATGATGTGCTCTGGTTTGACTTTTAAGTTTTCCCGCAACGTTAAGGGTAAAAAATGCAGGACAACTGGAAATACTCAGCAACGTTGAAAGAAGAAAGATGAAGTGCAGGTGACAGTTCTCATGGTCCTATGCTCTTATTTACTATTGTCACAAAAGGGTGCTTTCCTCACTCACGATGCCATCCTGGGCCAGCAGCAGATGGTGGAGAACCTGCCCAGCTGCTCTTTTTGAATAATGAAAAAAAACCAGGTGCTATGGAGTGGCACAACGAAGGCCTATGAGCTCGGTTAGGTTTGGCAAAAAATGTGAAAAACAGTTAACAAATTCACAGTCACCTGCAGACATACGATTGCGATCTGGACTATCCGTTGAGCGGATATTCCGTCAACTACAAAAAAGGGTAGCGCTTCTTATCACTTATTTCCAGAGAACTAGTTTGATCTCATTTAGCACAGTTAAAAAAGCTGCTAATTGGATGTATGAGTTGGCAGAAGTGGTGGACGAATGGACCAAAGAGTACGACTCAAGGACACGAGTAAGGTCTACCGTACACTCATCAGCTGCTTTCATATGGATCCTTCTAAATTTTCCAGCTTATGCACCCATATGCACCTTATATGGGATGTGCCTATAGGCACCCACCGGGACCTGATCCAAAGACCCTTTTCAAACTAGCCTGCGTCTACACTAGTGATCGGTTTGTGTTCATACATGAAATCAAAAAGTTGATTGTTTTGAAAACCATCTTTCCAGTCCCAGAACCGATGTACCTCAGACTATGGCATGCAACAAGAAGGCAGACTGTGGATATTTCGGATATGGTTTTTATTGCCTCACTAATCTTTGCTTTGCTCCAACCCGCACTGCTATCTTATAATTAGTCTGTCAAAGTCATTTCAATAAATTTGAACGGAGAAACTTTTCTTACGATTGCTTGCCTATGCGTATTGCTTTCCACTCTACATGAAGCGGTTGTAGTCGGTACTGGTTCTGCGCGGGAATAAAGATTCATCGCAGACGTCGCTTGGTATGCCATTTAAAAGGGGCGGATGTTGGGCTTCCGGTATATTGCCTCTTGAAGTGATCGTATTCAGTTCTTTGTTCAGCTCAAGGCATGATGGCTCTAGAGAACTGACTCATACGAAAATACTTCACGAAAACCTATGCCATGTGCAAACAAAGTGCGCAACCGCAATCTCCCCTCCTTTGGGATATGGCATGCGTTTTACTCGCTGCATTTTCAGTAGTTCCTCACTTTCTCAAATCACATCATGTTATTCATAGGTGAACTGAAAGTAAACAAAAACTCCACGGCACGCACGAAAGTCTGGTTAGTTACTAGGGCTTATGAGGAATTGCCCTGGTCGAGAGTCCTCTAACAAGGGAGGTCTTTCAGGTCGTGGCGCGCTTTTCGGAAATGATTTGTTGCATGTTGTAGAGGTCCGAATAAGGATCACAAAAATGGGTTTCATTTTTGCTATGCGTTTCTGGGTAGGTCAAAAACTGAGTGCAAAGTTTGCTGGGGAGAAGCGATTTTGAACCATTTTTCCGAGGCTCTTTTCTATTCATAATGTTAAGTATGCATAGCAGATGAGACCTTCATCGACACTGCATCGAGAACAATACAATTCAAGGTA